CATTTCTCTTCCCTCGGTTGAAACAACGAGCTGTCTCTCCTTGTCTTCACTTTGACGCTCAAGTCAAACAAATATATAAATAATGCAAAAGCTAAGAAATAAAAAGTTGCATTTGGAAAATACCTGAGGCAACTGCCTATATATATACCTTCACATTAGTGATGTAGCATGAGTGCCATCCAAAAACTAAGGAGAGAATATAGAAAAGCGTTGTCGCTTACATCATAATCATTATGTCACATAATAAGAGAAGTATATATCTTGGCCAAGTATGAACCTTGTTAACAACATGAGTTACTTTTAACCAATACAATGAATCAATTCAAAGAGAAGAAAAAGAAGAAGAAGAAGAAAGAGAGGAAAAATCAATAATGTATTGAGCCATCAAAAAATTAGGTTTTTTAAATAAATGCACAAGTTTATATAGTACAAGAAAAGAAAACAAAAAGGAAACATATATAAAATAAGGAAACTAAATATTATACAATAATTGCATAATATTATAAGGCTAACATCCCCCCTCAAACTTAATATGCTACAGCAAAAAGCTGTGAGAGTTTGTTGAGCAAAAAGCGAAAACGATGAACTGGATGAGACTTCGTGAAGAAGTCAACAAGCTGTAATGATGAAGAAACAAAAAGGCTTAAATCCACCCCCCCCCCACCCATTCCCTTACCCCTCTCAAACTTACTATGCCACAGCAAAAAACAGTGAGCGTTCGTTAAGCAAGAAGCTAAAACGATGAACTGGATGAGATTTCGTGAAGAAGTCAGCAAGCTGTAATGATGAAGAAACAAAAGGTAGAGAAATGATGGCGAATCATAGGACTATCAATCTCAATATATTTCGTACGCTCATGAAACATAGAATTGTGAAAAATCTGAATAGTACTTTTATTATCACAATATATAAGGGTTGGAGAGGAAGAAGAGGCACCCCCATGTCTGCAAGTAACCAACGCAACCACACAATCTCATTGGTAGTGAATGTCATAACACAATACTCTGCCTTGGTAGAGGAACGAGAAACAACGGTATGTTTCTTAATCTTCCAGGAGATAAGGGAATCACCCAAAAATATACAAAAATGGATGCCATAGCACGATACTTTGCCTCAGTAGAGAAACATGAAACAATGGGTTGTTTCTTACTCTTCCATAAGATAAGGGAATCACCCAAAAATATACAAAAACCAGTAGTGGACTTTCTATCGGTGGGGTTACTGGCCCAATCATCATCAAAGGAGGCATGAAGTATTAAAGAGGAGGTCGATTGAAATAAAATACTCTGAAAGTAAATACCACGAAGATAGCACAAAGTACGAACAACAGCTGCCCAATGAACTGTAGTAGGAGCCGAAACAAACTGATTAATAATATGAACAACATGAGCAATACGAGACGTGTGATGGTAAGATAAACCAGACATCCAAAAGTGGTACAATACAAAGTGGGATTAGTTAAGTGTACACCGTCAGAGAGTGAATATCAAGCATTGGACTCAAGAGGAATATCAAAAGTTTTAATATTAATAAGCCAAGCACGCTCAGTTTCATCCATAGTATACTTAGACTGAGAGAGAATGTAACCTCTAGAAGAAGAAACAACATCGATCCCCAAAAAATAAGATAATGCACCTAAGTCCGTCATTTTAAAACGATCCAATTCTAATTTCAAATATGCAATCCCATCAACTTCATTACCAGCAATAATCATATCGTCAACATAGCAAAAGTAGAATATGACTAGCCGAAGGCATCTAAAAAATAGGGCAGAGTCATGTTGACAGGATGTAAAACCAAGAGAGATAACAATAGCAGAGAATTTCACAAACCAGGCACGAGATGCTTGTTTGTGACCATAAAATGCCTTCTGGAGCATGAAAATATATCCAGGAGAGTGAGAAAGACTAAGAGAAGGAACCATATAAACATTTTCTTGAAGATTTCCATTCAAAAAGGCATTTTTTACATCCAATTGAGAGAGACTCTACTGACGAACAGATGCAACTGCAATAAGTGTACAAACGGTGGTCATCTGAGCAACAGGGGCAGAAGTCTCCTCATAATCCAAACCATGCTGCTAATTAAAACCCTTAACAACCAATCTAGACTTGTAACACTCAATGAACCATCAAATTTGGTTTTAATCTTATAAGCCCAACGAGAACCAATAGCATGTTTACATGAAGACAATGAAACCAAGTCCCAAGTCTGTGACTTTTGGAGAGCAGAGAGTTCATCATAGTCTGCTGCCAAAGAGGATCCAGAATAGCTTCTTTATAGGAAGATGGTTCAGATAGCTTGTGAATGGAGGTTAGAAAACAACAAAATGTCTCAAAATAACAAGAATAAGCAAAATCAGGTAATTGAGTGGATTTACGAATACATTGAGGATATCAAAGAAGGGAAGGAGCAGGAGCTTGATCAAAGAGGCCATAGAAAGAGGACGTGTATCATGATCCAACATACGTGTACCTATAGGACGTGAAGAATCGTCAGTACATGGGGTATGGGAAGGTGGTATGTCAATATTATCAGAGCATGGATCAATACAAATGGGATTAATTTTAGTCACGTCATGAGTATTATCAAAGATAGAAAAGAACGGAATGTACTCAAGAAACACGACATAAAAAGAAACACATAATTTTTTATTAACGGGATCAAAGCAGTGATAATCTTTTTATCCCTACCCATAACCCAAGAAAACACACATAGCAGAGCGAGATGTCAACTTACTACGTTCGACTTTAGGACAAAGAAATAAAGCAAGTACAGTCAAAAATTCTTGAGGAGGAGTAATTAGGAGGATGTCCATACAATGTTTCAAAGGGTGATAAACATGACGTGTGGGAAGATGGAATCTTATTAATTAAATAAACAGCAATGAGAACTGCTTCTCCCCAAAATACACTGGGAACTTTGGTAGACAAGAAAAGGGAACGAGCAGTTTCTACAATATGCCTATACTTTCGTTCAGCAACACCATTTTGTTGTGAGGTATTAGTATACGAGATTTGATGTATTGTGCCATCAAAACCAAGCAATTCAGATAAATCAGCCGAAGTATGCTCTCCACCCAAGTCACATCTAAAGCACTTAATTACAGCAAAATGTTGAGTTTTAATAAGTGCTCTAAAAGAACGATAAATTAAAAGAAAGTCAGATCGTCATTTCATAAGATAAATCCAACAATAACGACTATAATCATCAATAAAAGATACATAATATCTAGACTCTCCTATTGTAGTAATAGGAACATGCCCCCATACATGAGAGTGAACAATATCAAATGATGCAATAGAACGAGAAACACTTCGAGAAAAAAATAAAGCAGAAATTTTAGTTAATTTGTAACCACTACAGTCAGAAATGTCATAAGTTTGCAAATCTCCCAATTGACCCTTGGAAACTAAAAATTTTAAACGACTAGCGAAAACATGTCCAAGACGAGAATGTCACAAATATAAACTAGAAGATGATAAATTCAAACAGAAAGATGACAAGTCAACACCAGAGGCTGAAACGTGTGATGGTCTCAAATTGTCCAGCCCTCATTGTCTACGATCTATCATAATCAGCTTCTGAGATCGAGGATCCTACACATGACAAGCAGTAGAAGAAAATTGTGTAGAAACGCATCTTCTGGTCAGGGTCGTGTCACCTGACGGTGGCACGTGAGTCCCAGGCGCAGTGACTTTTGAGACGCGTGAGAGCGCGTGTGATTGATTTTCGAGGTGATTCCATAAGGCAGTTTGTTCCTTGGTAAATTTTTTATCTTTTGGTAGTATTACTTTGGTTATATGTGTACTGTGCACTATTTCCTTCTTTTATATAAGTTTCCTTTTTGTTTTCTTTGCTTCCTGTTTTCTGCTTGGATTTCCAGCGTATTACAATCAGAAATTTCACAATTTTCACTCAACTATAGGTTCTGATACCATGTTAATAACGTGAACTACCTTGAACCAATTCAAATAGAAGAGGAGGAGGAGAAGAAGAAAAAGAAGAGAGGAAAAATCAATAATGTATTAAACCGTCAAAGAATTAGGTTTTTTAATGAAATATACAAGTTTATATATTACAAGAAAATAAAACAAAAAGAAAATTTATATAAAAAAAGGAAACTAAATATTGTACAATAATTGCATAATATTATAAGGCTAACAAGCCTCTTTTGAGTGGTCGACATCAGCCAATGTCGACATAGGACCCCGACCTTTTGGACAATATTAATGCTATGTAGCTCAACCGGTGTTACAACCATCCATTTATGTGGCACTACATGTACATGACATTAAACGATAAGTTCAATTAAATATAGTATTACGGGAACACGTTTAATTAAACCTACATGTAGTACCACATAGACTAATATTAAGTTGACCTCAATGAAGGTTACATTTTTGTCCAATATTTTTTGTGCTTTAGACCAAGAAACTTTCCCACTTGACTACAACAGTCCAATAATCAGAATCCTGATTACTAATACATCAATTACACAATGAATAAGAGTGGATCATTCTAAAATGATGAATGCAAAAGAAAAATTCTTTGGGGAGATTAAAAGCCTGGTCAAAAGCTGCCAAACTTACATAACCATAAAATTTTTAGAAGATGCGGGACTTCTTGTTTAGCTGCAGACTTGCTCTTCTTCAAAATTGCAGTTAACTATTTTAATCTCTCTCTCTCTCTCTCTCTCTCGCAAAGACAATATAATTTAAGGTAAATCTCTTTATCCAATGATCATTTTGATTAGTGCGAGCATTTCACAATCTTTTCTAAACAATATAAGTTTCCATTAGGCCTGCACATTTTGACGTATTTTTTATTGTAAAAGTTTGATTAAACACCATCCCATTTTACTTTTCAACATCAGGCCGCGGCCGGCGGAGAAAAAGAAATTTCATTTGCTAAGATTTTTGTCTCGTTTGAGCAATTCGAAAATTTGCCTAAAAAGAATAACTTTGGTTTCTTCTTGCTACCATTTCTGCAGAAGATTAATGAAGACACAAGGGAGTACTGCAGAAGTAAGGCGACTTCACATTGTCTACTTCCTTAGTCGAAGTGGTGGTGGCATTGAACACCCTCATCTCATTCGAGTCCATCACCTCTCGAGTAATGGCATTCGGTTACGAGGTTAGTGCATTGATCCATGCGTCCATGCCTTATTGTATATCCATTAATTTGCTTAGATATTCGTCTGTTTATTTGACGTGTATATTTTGATACCTAAATCGTAAAAATAGATGTAAAGAAATGGTTGGCAGAATTGCGAGGAAAGGACATGCCCGAATCATTTGCTTGGTCATACAAGAGGTTTGTACATTTTACACACTAGAAAATGCATTCATATTATTTTAGCCCTATTTTTTTTTTTTTTTTTTACAAGAATGTATTTTGGAATAGTAATTTAATCGATAATGTAAAGTTAAAAAATAAGGAAAAGTTTTGGGTTTGCATGTAATAATGCATAGTTAAAAATAAAAGAAAGAAAAATGTATTTTGAAAATAATAAGGATCAAACAAGGGCTTAGTAATTCTAATTCAACCAGAAAACTAGTTTTTTATTGGATTCTATTCCGACAGGTTGGATCAGGGTATGGAAGCACGATTTGTTACTATTGGACAATGATTGTTGGCTACTTCAACATTTCTTAATTTCATCATTTAGTCTTCGAACATTTAAGTTTCAAATCGATTTTCGTCATTACTTTTTTTTTATTTTTTTGGTGCAGGAAGTATAGGACGGGTTGTATATGGCAAGATTTGCTGGATGATGATCTCATTACTCCAATTTCGGACGATGAATATGTCCTCAAAGGATCAGAGATTTCCTCTCCCACTTTTAATAAAGGTGAATCCTATCAAATATCAATTTAGTTTTATTTTAACATTTTCAGAAAGAAAATCAATTTAATTACTTCAGTAATTGATAAGTCAAATCTATTTTAGTTAAAGATCAATAAGTAAAAACCATATCGCTAAAGAATTTCCTTTCCTTCTTATTCTTTTTTTTTTAATTATTTATTTGACAGACCTTTCATACACTCAAAAGAAAGTTCCCATGCAAGAAGAGCCATTACCCCTTGAAGAAATTAAAGGCCACAAGCCCTCTTCCATTCAAATTCATTCAGAAAAATCAATGGATGTCTCAACAAAAACACCCTCAGAAATTGAAGAAGAATCGCCAGATTTTGGCTCCGAGACATCCACATTTATCACTGATTCTGTCGACCTCGAATCAGAAACAGAAACAGAACCAGAGAAGAATTCAGACACTGTCGAACAAGAAAATATGCATGGTAAGAATTATCAAGAACCAAAACTTCCCAGCAAAGAAGTAAGAAATGAGAATCATATGCCTTTTTTGAACTCAACTCCATCATATAAGGACAAGAAGAAGATGAACAACAAAGTTCCAATGGAGAAAAACACTACACCAGCTTCATCAGAGCCTTCATTCACAAAGAACAAGAGTTATTCTAATGGTGCATCCCACATATTCAGGAATTTGATTTCATGTGGTGCTGTGGATACTAATGATTCAGCAGTAGTGACGATCAATCGAAAGAATAAACCTTTCTTGAATATGTGTTCTTGTGATCAGAATGACGTTCATTCAGCAGAAATTTGCAATAGGTATAAACTAGGAGGATGTCAGACGATCTTTGGTGCTTCATGTAATCAACAACAACGAAGTGGCAGGTAATTTACATTAATCTCATCCTTAATCATGTCAAGTCTGGCTTAATTTTAAACAGTTTTTATATTTTCCGGTGTGATTTAGAAGGTTTGTTCACTTCATCAAAGAAGTTACCGTATGTTTTGCTTATCTTGAAAGTAACTTTTTCAAACATATTTCTAGATTACTCTTTCACTTAATAGTAGAAATGTTATTTATTTTGTGAATAAGGTAAGTACGAGTTACCTTAAAAAGAAACAAACTCATTTTCAACTTATTTTCCTCTCCGGTTCTGTGCCAGAAAGATCTGCGATGGGGAGAAGGATTCAAGAAACCAAAGGACACACTCAACTGCTTACAAGCAAATCAGAGGGCCAAATTGCTCGTAAGTTGATTATTCACACATTGTTTTCTTTCTTTCGCTTCATTTTACAAAATATTAAACCGTTACACCATGTTTAATCATCGCGTCTGACGAATCAAACTATATTTTTGTTCAAATTGAACGCAGGCAATGTGGGAAGTCATTCAAGCCAGAGAAACTACTTTCCCATATGAAATACTGCAAGGGAATGAAAGCCTCAGCCAAGGGTGCAAATCCTGCATTTTCTGCTTCTATTGTCCAGACGAAATCGCAAAGACCGTCGTCCAAGGAATCCCAAAATAAGGATTCACTCTCTGGCTACTACATAACCAGTTGATTCTTACGAGTATCCATTTTACAGGTTTCAGATTAGTAGAATTTAAAAATGTTCTACTTACTCTTATCTTCAAGAACTTCTGCAAATTGTTTCTTTCAATGTAAAGATAGGCAGAGTTAGTTTAGCAACAACACAAATGTTTTCAGAAATTAAAACCTCGAGAGAGAGGGTGACATAAATAACTCAGAAATTCACAGCTACATTAAATTATATACTATGTTCCTCATTTTGGCATTTAACAAAAAAGAAAGCATGATTATGTCTGTCTTTTCTCTTTGAGATGCGATGAAGTTAATAAAAGTGAAACCAAGTTTGCCCGGTAGAAGTGTACGGTCATTCCGGTCCATAAAAATCATTCATTGGCCCTTTGCAGTCATAAAGAGACGATGGAGCAAGAATATAATAATTTGACAACGAAAAAGAAAAGAAAGGGGATAAAAAAAAAAGAGAAGAAATTAAAGCAAAGAAACCTAAGAAGAACCTAAAACATCAAACCAACTTCTACTAGATTAGAATTTTATCAAAATATTGAAAATAATTTAAACAAATATTATTTAAATTAAATTATATTTTAAAATCATATCTAGACTCTTTATCTCTTTTTTTTTTTTTTTCTCTCTCTCCGCCAATTCTTCATGACTGAGAGACCTCGACTCCGAAGAGATAAATTGCACCTTTTTAGTCGGGACAAACTTTCTTCCTGGCCAAATAACGAAATCGATTACATGATGACAATTGAATCTTTAAATCATCTCCAATAATATGATCTGACCAAGAGGGCGACTGATGTAGTACATCACAACTACAATTAATAGTTCCACTTTATCTAGGACTTTGTCTTTTTTAAATTATCTTTTCTAATTTCCTTTTCTAATTGTAATGGGTTTATTTTTAAATTTTATTTAGATTAGGATTAGTTTATTTCCTTTTAGAATTTAGTTTCATTATTTTAATTTCCTTTTATTAATAGGATTAGGGATAATTTGGCCTATAAATATAGAGGTATTGTACACTTTTTATTCAATCAATCATATATCAATACAAAGCAAGTTTATTCCAATATAATTCTTATTTTCAATTCTTATTACAAGAATTTCTAAACGCTTCCGCACCAAAATTGGTATCAGAGCAAGGACTTCACCTCAATCTGATGGCTGAGGACGGTTCGAGTAGCAAACAAACCACCGACAACGAACGGAGGTTTGAAAAAATTGAGCAACGACTAGAAGGGATGGATGAAGCTCTTCGCAATATCACGCAGATGCTAACTGCGATGACTATTGAGAAGCATCATGCACCCAGGGCAGAACAGACGGGTGGGCAGAAATATGTACAAAGAGATATCAACTCAGATTCCGACGATGAGGAAGAAGATGCAAATTTGAATGTAAGAAATCGTGGAGTTCCAGCAAGAAGGGAGACGCGCCCTATTACCCAGCCCCACGTCGACCCAGGTGTGGGGGAAGGACTCCGGCCTCTTGCAGATAATCGACTTCGGCAGCAGAACCCAGAAATCCATGATCAAGTTGCCTGGCGCGCGAACCCAGTCGCGAATCACGACCCTTGCGAGGCTGCCCCTCTACGGTTCTACGAGCGAAGAAACAGGCGAGATGAAGGTAACCTCCGGCGAAAGGTTCCAATCGGTGGCGACGAGGAGCTCAGTAACCGACCGCGAGCTTCGACAAAAAATCTTGAGCGAGAGGCAGAGACGCGATTTAATTTTAGGGAAGGAATCAATTTTGACCCACACAATTTTGACCGATGCTATAATGTTGACCGTGGTTACAATGTTGACCGAGGAGTCAATTTTGATCGAGGTCCTAATTTTCAGCCGAGGGATAGAGGCTTTCAACAAAGAAGACCACGGGGTTTCGATTATTCATCCGAAGAAGAAGATAATTTTCGACCAAGGGCTAATAATCGTGGTACAAATGTTCAAGAATTTAAGATGAAGATGGACTTGCCAAGTTTTGACGGCCGATTAAATATTGAAGATTTTTTGGATTGGATCCATACCGTCGAAATTTTTTTCGACTATTTGAATATCTCGGAACAAAGCCAAGTTAAGCTCGTGGCGTATAAATTAAAGGGTGGAGCTTCGGCATGGTGGGAACAACTTCAATTTAATCGTCAACGACAAGGAAAACAACGTGTGCAAACTTGGCCCAAGATGAAACGGTTATTGCAAAGACGATTTCTCCCCCCAGATTATGAGCAATTTTTGTACCAGCAATATCAGAATTGTCGACAGAACAATCGAACAGTAAACGAGTACACAGAGGAATTCTATCGTTTAAATGCCCGAGTTAATTTGTCTGAAACAGAAGCTCAATTAATTGCTCGATATATAGGAGGCCTAAAATTAGTCATTCAAGATCGACTAGCTCTTCAAGAGGTTTGGACCATGACAGATGCAGTCAATTTAGCAATGAAAGTGGAAAATCAGATGAATAGGACCACAGCCCGTACTCAAGGCAATTTTCGACGACCAATTCAAGAAACTTATTCTACTCCAAAGGGTGCAACGACATCAGGCAACAATAATAATAACAGTAAGGGTACCACGCCAATTCAGAATTCGGCACAGAATCAAAATGGAACTTCAGCTCCTGTTCAATCTAACATCCAAAACAGAAACCAAGCACAGCAACGAACAAATAATGACCCTTATGCGCGTCCTAATCTTGGAAAGTGCTATCGGTGTAACCAACCAGGACATCTTTCAAATAGCTGTCCAAACAGGCGATCCATTAACATTGTAGAAGAGGGCGAAAGTGATGAAGAACAAAATTTTGAAGACGGTGACTATGAGGGTGGTAATGTTGCAGATGCAGATACTGGGGAAGAGTTGGCGTGCATTGTCCAACGCCTTTTACTTGCACCCAAAAAGCCTGATAACTCACAACGACACAAAATCTTCCGGACTCGGTGCACTATTCGTAGTAAGGTATGCAACGTAATCATTGACAGCGGTAGTAGTGAGAACGTCGTTTCCAAAGCAGTGGTAAAAGCTCTAAATCTGAAGACTGAGAGACACCCTTCTCCATACAAGATTGCATGGATTAAAAAAGGCCCAGAAGTTCAAGTTCTAGAAATCTGTAAGGTTCCTTTGTCGATTGGGAAATATTACAAAGATGAGATCATGTGCGATGTGGTGGATATGGATGCTTGTCATATATTATTGGGTCGTCCATGGCACTATGACGTTGATGCCACTTATAAGGGGCGAGATAACACTTTCATATTTTGGTGGTTTGATAAGAAGATCGTTTTAGTACCACAATCTCAACATTTGGAAAATAATCCTGCTATCAAGGAAGATAAACCACTTTTTACCAACATATCAGGCCCAGAATTCTTCGACCACGTAAAAGAGCCGAGCACTATATTAGCATTAGTAGTTAAAGGTCACTTGGAAGCAACTATACAGATTCCTGCCAAAGTTCAAAAGTTACTTGCTGATTTTGCTGATATAGCACCTGATGAGTTACCAAGCGAGTTGCCCCCTATGCGAAACATTCAACATCATATTGATTTGGCACCTGGAGCTAGTTTGCCTAACTTACCACATTATCGAATGAGCCCAGTTGAACATGAAGAGTTGCAGCGACAGGTTAATGAGTTACTTGATAAAGGATTGATCCGTGAGAGCATGAGTCCTTGTGCAGTTCCCGCTTTACTCACTCCAAAGAAGGATGGCAGTTGGCGAATGTGTATAGACAGTCGTGCTATTAATAAAATAACAATCAAGTATTGCTTTCCCATCCCGCGTCTTAATGATATGCTCGACAGATTACAAGGGGCAGTGGTATTCACCAAACTTGATTTAAGGAGTGGCTATCATCAAATCCGTATTCGAACTGGCGACGAGTGGAAGACAGCTTTCAAAACCAAGGATGGTCTCTACGAGTGGTTAGTGATGCCATTTGGGCTGTCGAACGCACCAAGCACATTCATGCGATTAATGAACCAAGTTCTTCGTCCTTTTGTGGGAAAATTTGTGGTGGTTTATTTTGATGATATTCTTATCTACAGCAAGAATGAAGATGAGCACTTGTCACATCTTAAAGAAGTTCTCTCCGTCCTGCGAGATAATAAATTGTATATCAATCTCAAAAAATGCATATTTATGACTGATCAACTTTTATTTCTTGGCTTTATGGTGGGAAAAGATGGTATCCAGGTTGATGAAACAAAGGTGAAAGCAATACGCGAATGGCCAGCTCCTAAAACCGTGAGAGAAGTTCAAAGTTTTCATGGACTAGCAACTTTTTACAGGCGTTTCATTCGAGGATTTAGTGCAATCATGGCGCCTATTACCGATTGCTTGAAAAAGGGTCAATTTCAATGGGGTAAAGCGCAAGAAAATAGTTTTGAGGCAATAAAAACCAAGTTATGCACTACACCGGTGTTGGCACTACCTAACTTCGAAAAAGTATTTGAAGTTGATTGTGATGCTTCAGTTATGGGAATTGGAGCAGTATTATCTCAAGAAGGTCGCCCAGTCGAATTTTTCAGTGAAAAGGTTAGTGAGTCTCGGCAAAAGTGGACTACTTATGAGTTAGAATTTTATGCCGTTATTCGGGCTTTAAAGCATTGGGAACATTACTTGATACAACGAGAATTTGTGTTATTTACGGATCATCAAGCTTTGAAATTTATCAATTCTCAAAAAACAATGAATCGAATGCACGCTCGATGGATCACCTTTTTACAGAAATTCACTTTTGCTATAAAGCATAAATCAGGCCAACAGAATAAAGTAGCAGACGCTTTAAGTCGACGAGCATCTCTTTTAGCTACCATTAGTACAGAAGTAGTTGGGTTCGAGTGCTTAAAGGAACTTTATGCAACTGATAAGGATTTTGGCGATATATGGACTCGATGCAGTAATAGAGAGTTTATATCCGATTACCTACTTCAGGAAGGATTCTTATTTAAAGGAACGCAATTATGCATTCCTCGTTCTTCTTTGCGTGAGCACTTGATCCGAGAATTGC